TCGTCTCCAGCGGTAGCCCTTTTCGCATCCTTCACCGTCTGAGATGACATTCCTCTTGGTCGAAAGATTTTCAGACCAGCACGTGATTTGGTGCGGGAGTCAAACTGATCCAGGACCAGTGAGGGCGATGATCCTGCTCAATTCGTTTATGCCGTCGTTAGCCAGAACACTATCTGACGATAAATACCTGTTCACTAGATTGATTCTTGCTTTAGCCGTGTTGAAAACCACCAAACGCCCTTCTTTCACACAACGTCAATAAGGTTTGGCAGTTCGGCTTGGTGGGGCACCAATAGGCCACCTTGCGAGAAACCTGTGAACTCTTGTAACCAAAAAGTCTTACTTGAACCATTTTGCAGCTACACACAAGTTAGCAGGTCTCGCTTTGGCGCTTCAACATGACCTGATAAGACGGAACGCAAATGTGCAAAATGCCCTCCCTACCGAACAGCGCCTAGGATTTCAACTTCCAGGACCGGGAATGTTTCGAGCAAATAATTGGGCGACAACAAAGAAAAAAAAACGAACCACGCGGTAGCTGATCTCATATTGATTGAGTTCCTCGCGAACTGCTTCAATGATCGGGTTGAGCCTCTCGTTTGCAGATATCGGCAATACTGAGCACTTGATTGGCGCTACCAATGGTCGCAAAGCGAGGAACTGAAACTTATTGCAATCAGTGACTCACTCTGATCCCTGGATTAGTTACAACCGTAAAAGTTTACACAAGAAAGAGAGATAGTTCAACAGTGAAGGGAGTACTCTTTATACATACCGTTCTTTGCTCGTCTCCTTCTCTTTGCCTGAACGAGTGTTCCAGGACGGCATACATAACTCGACCTATTCCAAACGATGGCTCGATTACTGATGGGACAACTTCTTCGACATGAACCTTAACAACCACTCCAGTACCATATTACCTTGTGAATGTAAAGAAAACGAAAAACTGCGAAAAAAGTTATTAGTACTCTACAGTAATCATACCGTCTTCGTTCCTCGCTTGACGGTCAACATGTTCGAAGTAAGCGCAAACTCATCATCATCTACTTTCAACTTGAACGCCCTTAAACAACCAGATGACAGATCTTTCGTGATGTGCACAACTACACTAAGGGCACGTCGAAAGTTAGGATGTCCATCGAATAAGGGGGGGGGGGTAGTCTATGTGGTCCCTGGAGGGTGATGGTGATCGTATTTGCCTTTGAGGAGACTATTTTCGATTATTCACTATTCTCGGCTCTTTTCTGATTCAAAAGCGCTACGCTCTCCCTCTCCCCGCTCGAGACGGCAAGTTTTTGGAGAAAAAGTGGAGGTAGGGTGTGTGGACTACAGGAGAAAATTTTAAGAGGGATCGTATTTCGCAGATATCTCTCAGTGACTGACGTGCCCCGATTACAGTACCAATGAATTGAACAAATGCAGCCATTTTTGCTAAGATAACTGCTGTTTAACGCCGCAGTACGCGTTCCGAAC